TTGAAAAAAGGATGTTTATTCGAGCGATGCGAGATTTCCCTAATGAAGGCCATGTAAGCACTTAAATATGATACTTTGCAGCCATATGTAAGTAGAGCAGGCTAAGAACAAATAAAATTAACAAATTTATCTCATTTAAATTGTGTGCTAGTGATGTACTCCAACTGTAACATCCACATATCGATAACTACGTTAATGTTTATCATTGAAAAAAAAATAAGAAATAAAATATTGCGTGAAAGAGAAGGGGCACAAAGTTTTACATATTTGAATGGTGTGCCTACATAAATGAGCAAGAATCGGAATAGGTGAATTTTTCAGGATTTTGAAACACAATCTGTAATATTGATGTCATATAATTAATTTCGTGCGCTGAGTATGCAAGAAAACTAAAATAATTTTTGGATTTTGATTCTATTTTTGTTTCAATTATTTCCAGACTCGTGTACACTCGTGTTGGCTGAAGAATCAAGGAACAAATTTCAGTAATAAAATTTTATTTTAATTAACAGAAACCGTTTTTTATCTTATTTCGGGTCCGTATTCAAGTCTAATCTTCTACCAAATATCTCCTCATCAACAATGGACAGAAATACGGACTCGATACTTACCTACTAAAATTAATAAAAAAATATTAAGTGGAAACTTCGGTTTCTACCTAGTATCTTTTATCGATATCGATAAGAAGCTAAGCTAGCTTCGTTAAGCACTATTTGGCTCCTTACGTTGGTACTCATGTTGTTTGACATCTTTGTGGTATTTTTGTGGTATGGTTGGTATTGGAGTGCCGCGTAAACTGATATTTTTGGCTAGTATGGAAGTCCCGTCTCTTAAACGTAGTGATTACATTCTCTTTGGTCGTCGCATACACTTCGTTTACGTTTTGAGTTAAGCGGGCTTTGAACTGTAGCGGTCTCACGTGACCAATTCAACAATAGCACCGAACTGATTAAGTGTAATTGTAAAAAGACTGTCCCTTTGGTTTAGAGCGTGGCGGCTGATTTATGGCAGCGGAGCGGCGGTGCGACGCGAGTCTAGTTTGTTCACGATGACGATGCGATTAAGAGCCGGCTGAGGGCGGGAGTTGGCGGGGGCGGGCGGGGGATGCCCGGGAAAAGAGCGGCGCCGACTTAGAATCGTGTCTTTACGACAGGCGAGCACAGAGCTTACATCACATCATTGCCTAATCCTGAGGGTGTGCGGCGGGGCGCTTCAACAACAAAACTTTACGTAACCTGACACGTGTTACATAACCTTAAATTCGATTCTACATTATTCGGACCTCCCCGCGCGACGCAACGTTAATAGGGTATTTTATTTGGGTTGGTACATATGGTGTGTAGAAACCGACATTTCATGTCAGTTTCTACACACCATATGAATATTTACCAGCAACGCGGCAATTTTGTCTTCATTCCGCGCATCTACCGTGAAAAATATGGGGTATGACACAGAGTCAAACAGATATCTGCAGCTCCCGCGAGAAAATTGCGAGTATTCATCATAAATGCGTGACGTTTAAAATTTTCAACCGCCCGCCCGGCGGGCCGCTACCTATAAATCAAAGCAAACAGTAGTTTGGGAGAGTGGGATACTGTATTACCTCTTTGTTTAAAAATTTTTCGCATACATCACCTTGAAATGCACGCTATAAGTTTGGAAATCCTTTTACATTCAGGACATAAAGCTGTTATGATAACGTTTGAAACGCGTACAGCGCCGTCCCAAAAGTTTGTATATATGAAAACGTTGAATATAAATAATGCCCGGTTTTGCAGGAAACTCTCATGTGTGCAATAATTTAGGTGTTGGTTAGCTGATATTTATTGCTCGGTTAACATGGTTCTGGTTTATACGGATGAAGAGTAATAATTACGTGCTACTTTATCGAGCGTATTGCAGCGGCATGCTGCGAGCTCATTACGCACATTTCGCATCTAACGGCTGAACCGCAAATGTTTTGCAATGTGCAGTTTATTGCGTGAATGTAGCGCGGACCGCATCGTTTTTAAATTATAATCACAGTGCATCGATATCGATTACGATCGGTTGAACACACATGTGAAACGGTTTAGTTTTTATTTTCGTTTTACGCGAAAGTTTGATATTTCAGTTTTATATTCATGGAAATTATTACATTCCCAAGTGAGCCCGACCTTACCTGGCAAATTTTGATGTCGAACAGACTTTGGAGGCAACGTTCCTTGCGCTATAGAGTAATAATTGATATACGCATTTGGCAGTGGCAACTAGGATTTGCATAGCATTACGCAGCAGTCGAATGAAAGCTATGTATGCGCATAACAAACATTAGCGATAACACAAATAGAGCGTTAATGCCCGAGTCCTTCGAATTCGGCGTAGGTATTTCAGGGAGGTCGGCGTGCGAAGTAATTCAGCGGTGATAGATCGTACGGCCGCTCAAATTCAATGTAATCGAGCAAGCTGAGTTCAAATCCCGGTACCGGCACCAATGGGATTGATAATTACGTTAACTAAATAAGTGCTGACTTATCACTTTTAAATGGTGACATATCGCTGAGCAACAGCGGTGAAAGAAACCCACATATTTTTTAAATTATAACAAAAATGGCTGATAAGTCCGCCAATACGCTGTGAGGTCGCATTTATAGACTGTGCCAGCAATGAGGCATATGTAGGCTAGTACTTTATTTAACTTTTTTTATATCCGAATAGCGTGAAGGGCTCCGTTGGGCGCGTGTGGTGCCCGCAAAGGTCCTAACGAGTGCCCGCCTGTACACCTCGCTCCACGGTGCCGCGGCCTCGGACCACCCTATTGCATTTATTCATGTCGTTACCGCTAACGATAATTTTATCGTGTGCTCATTTGCCGGCGCCAGTTTCGCGATCATCTGTCAGCGAGACCAAATCGACGATTTGCTCGGTGCTAAAACATTTTATTGCGCCATAATTGACCTCGATATTTCTTCGGCACTTAAGCAGAGTAGCTTCTTTTGTTATTCCAATGCCGCTTTTATTTATCTTTTTCTTGTTCTTTATTAGCGTTCGGGCGTTAAGTTACGTTTAATTTTCGAACGACGATAACAACAAACATCTTAGATTAGAGCGTGAAGTTGGGAAGTTATCTTCGAAATAATTTTGTATAAGTACCGTACAGTAGAGCGGGACTACGTAAAAGTCTAACAGGGCCATCTTGAAAATTTCTCCCGGAGCGTTGTAGGTGGGTAATTGAATAGCGCAGTAGACGCCGCTCGGTAGTTAAGGACGTGGCCGGCCAGTGCACGGCGCGGGGCGGTGGCGGCAGGGACGTAATTGCACAAACTTTCATGTGCTCCGCATACATTTTCATAATTAAAGGGGCCGTTCGCGCCAACTGGCAAATAGTCATGTTTTATACACGTTTACTTATCTAAAAAGAAATTAACATGTTCTCTTCTTATCTCGCAATGGAACCTTGAGTTGTTCGTCTGTAATAAAATTATTGGGAAAGTGAAACGACTATTTGTTTGAATTTTGTTTTGGCAAACGACACGAAATGAATAACGTTACAGGAAAGTTTTAAAAGTAGACTAAACAAAGAGGGTTTTATCTAATGAACTCTCAAAAAAGTACGCAGGGTGTACACAAGGGGTTGCTCATTAGAAATTCTCAGGGAGACGCCACCGTTCTTGCTGCTAGTGTACGATGTGGGATTTGAAAAAAGACTAAAGCTAGTAGCGTGCGGTAAAAGAGCATCGGAGAGGCCAGTAATGAAATAATGTACAAGTCTTTATTGAAGTCGATATACCTTACCTTACATTGTGAGGATTCAGCAATAATAAATTCTTATAAATATAAAATGTTTTACCAACAGTGTAGTCTACACAGTTGGTAAAACATACCACCTATATATAATTTAAACCACTATAATAATGTTTCATATTCATAAAGGATTCATCTAAAATAATGGAGAAATTAATGCTGATTTAAACAAAATATTCATTATTTTGTTTAAAAAATGTTTTCATGTAATTAATCTTAACTAATTATTTGTAGATATTATGTCAATGTGCATTTAAACGACGTACAATTACTGTAACACGCAGAATCAAGGAATGGTTCCCGGAGAAAGCAAAAGTAACGAAGACGATGTAAATTGAAAAAAAAAAAACGGAACGGTGTCGGCGTTGTAAACATTAAATCAAACAGCGGAATCGGAATCGCGTAATTTCGCGCGGCCTCGGTTGTGAAACGATAGAGAGAGGATAGAGAAAGAGAGAGAAAGAGAGAGAAGGAAAAAAGGGCGAAAGGGAGGTCTTTACAAGGCCCGAAGTAAATATCTCACTTTTCCATTAAGGGCATAAAAGCAATTCCGCGAGAGGCGAATAATAACGAGGGGCAGCGCTGTCCGGCCTCAGAGTTTTATTTGCATCGCGGGGCTCGTGGCGGGCGGGCGGCGGCGCCGATTGCCCCAATAATCGCCATTGTGCGGCGGGCGCGGGGCCGGCCTCTCCTACAACTTCCAAATTGCATGCGCCCGAGAAAACTTCAACCTTTGAGAAGATTCCGAGCGCCCCGACGCGACGTGCCGCCGATATAAATTCGTCGCGGCCAGATACGCGACCGCCGCAATTGCCAATCTATTCCGGTTCGACTTTCGTCCGTTCTTCGTTCTTTTTTCCCTCGATACACCCCCTCGCGGAAAGTGGTGACGAATGCAGAGTGAAAATTAATTACATTTACACACACTACGGACCTCGTTCACTGAAAAATTAAATGTTAATTCAAATGCTATGGGCCCCGGTTTTTTTTATGAAAACAATATAAATAAAATCTTATATTTGATCATTAAATATAAAAATTTTAATGAACAGGATTTTTCTTCTGTATAATTCAGTAGAAACATTAACCTGTACAGGATAGGTGTGCGATACCACAACCCTTGCGAATCTTTCAACGGCACATTCGCACTTAATTTTCTTGGAACAGTGGCGGTAAGAAATAAAGTTAAAATTAAGACGCGGGTTTATGGGGCGTTACGGGGGCGGCGGGGTGCTGGGGGTGCCGGCGGGGAGGGGGTAAGGGGGCCAGGGGGGCAGGGGAGGTCGGCAGCCACCGGGCGCGCCGAGGAGTGAGAGCACATTCGAATTCTCCGCGCGAGCTGTGCCGTAGATAGCGGCAGGCGGGACACGTACTTCACTTCCACTAACTCCCAACTATTGACAATATTAATGCACGCTTAGCAGGGCCAAGCGGCTCCGTGCACCGCCTACGGAATATTGTAAAAACATAAAGGAGAGCAATCGATGAGCATAACTAGGAGTGCCGCGAGCGCTTTATCTAGGCGCTCGGGACTCTGCGGCGCTGCAGACGATTATTAGCAGGGCCTTATCGGCGAGCGCTCAGTGGCAGGCTCCCTTATTGGCACTAATTTATTCCATATCCATTGCTAAGAGCGTCTCCGGAAGTAACGCAAATATTAGAGGAGCCCGGCCCACGAATGCCGCCATTAATTCCAGAATTGAAATCTGGAATTGCGGCGGCGGCGCTGGCGAATTTACATTCATCGCGGTAAGAACTTAAATCAAGTTCTCAGTTGCGATTCAGTTGTGATATTATTTTATTAAAATATGTAAATTACGCCGTTCCAGCGCGTAGATACAACGGTAAGGGCCTTACGATTGCGAGGGAGGATAACTGTCGCGACACTATATTTTCATTACAGAGTCTATTATTGCTATTATGACTGTATTATACAATTCCTTAATTACACGCGTTACGCAACAACGAAAATTAAACATGCTCGCCAACACATGCGTACAACGATATTACTTTAAGGGAGAGAAAAAAAATCGCTTTTATGGCTCGTTTGATTATATGAAATTAATAACGACTTGGTAGAAATTCGAGCGTTATTTATAAAATTTAATGAATAATTATTTTGTTATAATCAGTTAATTCGACATTAAATTCTTCGACGCCAATCGTTTACTTTTTGGTACTATTTAATAACAAATTATTGTGTCTGAAATTGATAGTATGAAAGTAAATAATTATTGTTTTATTTTTGTATCTAATACAGATATTGTACATCATTTTTAGGTTTCTGCGCATCTTCCTCATATCTTCGTTATCATCATTACAGCCAGTTAGATTCCAGTATTTGTAATTAAAACTTGTAGAAAAAGTACGAAAATATTGTCGCCGCTGTAGGAATCGAACCCATTTATTAGTGGCTAAAGCGTCAGGCCGCGAATGCCGAAGACGATGGGTTCGATTCCCACAGCGGTGACAATCTTTTCGTACTTTTTCTACAAGTTTTAATGTTTAATCTTAAGTGCAGAGATTAGCACTATAAAAAACTTTAAGTTTCAAAAGTATTTATTATTGTTGAACTAATAGGAAAGCTTTTCAAAACCTCACAGAAACACCACGAATTATGGTACTAAAAATTTTAGTCTGAGTAAGGGCCAATTAAAAAGGTTGGAAACGTATTTAATATGTTGGTAATCACTTAGCATCGTGTTTAACCGCTTGCCTTGGGTTCTGATTTCTTCTGCACTCGATAATAAGTGCTCCCGTTTTCAGCAATTTTTTTCGCGAAGCTCTGTCCACGCTTAAAGGTTAACAATTTGAGACTCAGATCCTGTGCCTAAGAACTAAAACCCAAAGTCAACGCGAGCATACACAACAAACGAAACTGAAATTACCACCCGCATACAAAAGCCCGCCGATCTAAGACAGCAAAGCGCGCCAGGAACCGCCCGCGCGGTCGAGTCCGATCACGTAATGGGGCTGCGGAGTAAGAAAAAGGCTGCTGGCACTATCGGCTGATGCGGGGCACAAAGCAGTTTTCAATTTATCGGGAATAAATGCCTCGCTTGGCGGGTTCAGACACCCAATTACCGCGCACAAAAGCTGATTACGACGAGTGCGGGCGCCGGCGCGGGCCCGCCGCATCGGTGCGCCTGCGGAATATTTGAGCGGATCGCGGGCAACTCTTCATTTAGTCTCTTTACTTTGTCGCAAACGCCGTCTGCGATTGAAATCCGGAGGCGAACGTCTCGTGTGGATATTTTGAGATCTATGTAGATACATTACTACATACATTACTATGACGGATGTTCCCCGTACAACATTCGTCGTGATCGCACAAAGAACTCTCGTATTGAATGTTCTTTTATTTACATTTAACATTTTCCTGCTGTACAGAATGTTTTCTTTTTTGTCATAATAACAATAAATATAAGGAATTAAGAACATGAGAAGATTAAGAAATCGTAACCATACATTTGTTGGAGACTGAAAGGAATTTTGATGTAAACATTTATCCTTGTCCCAGTCCCCCTCACTGCAGATGTCGCAAAATGACGTGATCACAATAAGCGAGTTTTCTCTGGCGCCAAATGCATGAACTCCCTGCAGCGAACGCCCAGGGAAATCATGACCGTCGCTCCACTGACAGCAACAGTCGCGCTTGAAGAGAACTTATAAAACAACATGGAGGTCATTTCATTTCTTTATATGAAACTGTTGTGTGTTCTGTAAAGCAAATAAAGATTCCGCAGTAGCCAACGCAAAAAAAATCCTTTTGATATACGAAACACGTCACAAAGCGAGTGCTTTTTAATCGCTTCCACTATAAAAATATTTTCACGATAAACGGCTTGGGCGCGCCGAAGACACTTGAATTTTTAAGCTTATTAACGCAAGACTGCAGCCAAATTGGAGTAAACTCTTTTCAATGAAAAAAGTAGTATATTCTTTTATCACGTTATTCATATTAATCCTTTAAATATGCAAAAAGAGGTAACATGAAAAAAGAAACTTTAATTTTTAACCTGATATAACTTTAACCTGAAAATTTAGGTAACCTGAAAGTTAAGGTAACCTGAAAGTTTACGTAGGCAATTTTGGTTGGGAAAAAATTCATACGTTCGCGTCACCGACATCACGTCTTTCATCATTAACGTTAATGACTTTAAAATTTTGACATCATTTGGTTTTCTATTATTTGATCGCTGTATAACAAATTTTAATATTAAAATATTATGAAACTTTATAAAAAAAATAACTCAAAATAATTCTTTATTGGTTTAAATTGCCAGAAATGAAATTTGTTTTTAAGACTTTTATTATTCACACAATTATTCATTTCTAAATTAAAAAAAATAAACAATTTTTTCCATTTTAAGTTTTTACTTATGTCGGCAATTGCTGCTTATTTTATATATTGTTCAGTAGAAACAATGTAATAATATAATAATGTTAATTTAATATTTCCAATCGCAATTGTATTTGCTTTGACTGACAGCAATAATTAAACGGATTTCCAAATATAAAATTTAATTACACTCCGACAGATTCAACTTTAACACCCAAATCATTAGTAAACGGTGTAGTGTCGCCCGGTAGTCGCCTTTCATTAGCAGTGTAAACCTACGCGCGGGTTGAATTATGGCGGCGCGTCATACGCTTAAGACGTATGCAAACAAGATTTATGTAATTAATTTACGAGATAACAGCGGAAGCTTTGTATATATATATATGTATATAAAGGACGATGTAACAAACCTAAGTCGCGAAGATCGTTGTGAAATCAGCACAACGTATCACTAAAATTTTGCTGATTCGGCATGCGTAGCAGACGTAGATTCCAATATAGAAAAACGAATGTAATTCCATGAAAAAGTTGTATTAAGTTAGGTCATAATTATAACGTAGATTTTTTTTTACAGTCATGTGCCACTATAATATATATTAAAAGCATTCAAATGCATCTAACTATTACAGTTATCTTAAATTTTCTATCACATTTATCCAGAGATGCTAAATTCGTTTTATTAGAAGATATTACATATAAATTTTAATAAAGAAATGAATTTATCGATTCGGGGGGAGGAAAACGAGAGAAACGAAAGTATACAAGCTTCACGGTTGAAGGCGAGCGGGAGCGAGCAGCCGACAGCTACGGCCGGAGATATTTACGTTTATCTTCGGATAACGGCTTCATCGCAAGCTTTATTACGACATCCACTCACGTAATCCTCCGCCGACGTCATAACTTCTCGTTTTGCCGCTACGCTACATTGTGCTACAGCGCTTTCATACTAGCGATGCCTACGATACAAGCTTCTGCAGGCTGCCACTATGCGCTTAGTATGCAAACTTTCCTAAAGTAAAAGCTTCGCAACGGGTGTTCTTGCACGGTACATGACAAACAACTTTACTATTTTGTCCTTATCTCCAGTGTAGAAAGATTACCAAAGCTAATTTAATTTCGTCAATATCTAACACACACGTTTATTAAGAAAATCATCATTTTGTAAATAAAAAATCGAGGAATGATAATAATAAGCTCACGGGAATATTCAGTGAATGTAAATGATCCCGGAGTCATTTACAACTTTTCGAGACTCCCTCGTAGGGGCCGGGTGCGGTTCCGACCGAGCTATAAATGAATATCGGATATGGAATCCATAAATACTCAATCTAAATTCGTAAATTTTCTTCGATCTTCGCGAAAATTGAAGAGGCAATTTAAAAATGACTTGGCTGCAGAATCTTATGTAAAGGGCAAAATAATATTTCTATTTTTAACCTGGGTATCAAACATTAAACGTTTTGTTTTGTGAATTGCATAACTTGATGTAAATGTATTCACACCTAATATGCGATGGCTGAATTGTGTTGCCGAAAGGCCGAAATTGAGCGAGTAGATTGGAACAGAGAAGCTTAGTGCAGCCGCCGGAAGTAGGCCTCTGATGACTGCCGTATAATAGTTTCTAAATTGACCCTTCTACACCGGCCTCCATTCGCCAATCGTAACCGACAATTTTCTTAATATTATGGTGGTATTATTTACTTTTAGTATCTTTAACATAAATTTTTTTGAATACAATTTATTCGATACTAAATCGGTAGAACTGGTAGAAAATGCCTTATGGCATTAAGCCCGCCGTTTGTATACCAGTTAGTACAATAAAGTGTGCAAATAAATAAATAAATCGACATATATACCAATAGGAAAATTAATTTCTAAATTGGGTGTTGGCACGAAATCAGTGCGGAAGTTTCAGAAGTGTTATTTCCTTTTATGGCGATGGCAAACGTCAAGCGACCGGCGGGCCGGCTATGAGGATAGTCAAATATAAACACAAAAGGGACGAGTCGCACGAAATACTGGCATTGTAGGATCCTAAGCCCTGTTTAGATTAGATCAGACCTTCGAAATAACAGTGAATGAGGACGTGGATTAACTACGGTCCGGGGCACTTCGGCCCGTGAGCCTAATGGGGCACCGTTAGGGGTAATGAAGGGTGCGGGGATAGGGGGGCCCTGCACCGGTTCAGCTTTAAAGCGCTCTTCGAAAACATCACTATTTCTCTATTTAGATTAAGGAGTTTTAAATAAGACTAGTATCTACTAGGGATGCTACGAGATTCGATTTCCGGATAACTGGTTAAAATAACAATTAGGTATACCTTATTCTTCTTACATAATATTATGTTTCAAAAATTTAAATTAGAGACACCGGAACGAAATTTTTCCTTAAATACTTTTACTTTTAGCTACCTGAATTGCTCTCTTTTACACCATATCAACATACTCTCGCGCGAGCTTCTATGCGAAAATATCTAAGCATATATTTACATAGATAATTACACTTGCATATATGAGGGGAAATCGTTCGGATAGCTACATATCGATTTAATAGGTTTAGTGTGGAGCTCCTGTGGATGTCCCAATGGCTAAAGTGAGGGTAGATATTCATTTTTCAACGTCAAAGAAGAAAATTCATTAGAACTCGGAAATTACTAATGGCTAAGCGGACGAAGTAAAATTTGCTCTTAATTTGTACCGAAACTTTTTCGTGAAATTTAAGAAACTTTACTAAACGACTTTTGAAGTGAGAAAGATGGCAGAAGTGCTAATGATTATTGTTCTGTTTTTATTATCACGGTTGAAATGAATTCGCTTCAATCTATTATTTTGAAGGGTTTCTTAAATAAACTGAAAAGATATTTTTAAACTTTTTATAAATAAGTAGAATTAATTTCTTAAACTGATGCTGCAATTGGTGTTAAGCCCTAAAGCATATTGCCAATAGGCCGGCCACAGTTTTCTCATTTTGTGATACACTATGATTCAGTTCAAGCGTTAAGTTTAATAATAACCGAGGAGTGGTATATTTTTATAACGCTAGAATAGAGTAACGATGACATTCATAGGCGGGATGGAGTGCTCATATTGAAGTAATAAATCTGTAGCGAGTATGTGGCACGGGTGCTTGCGACCAGCTACGGTCGCCGCTCAGAATCTACCGATATTAGTTTACTTTTCTTTTCCAACTTAGTTTATTAGTTATATGACGCAGTAGACGGTGATGGTTCTCAAGTTACTGAGAAGCCAATACGGTGTGCTTCCGTCATGGTGAATAAAATATACATGATGTACACGATGAACAATTATGATGTTTGTAAGTTTCTTGGAAAATTGAATGATTTTGGGCAAGTTTTACATTGTCTACGCAAATAGAACACATGTTACATTTATTATAACTTGAAATACATTTTCGCAGAATTTCACAATTATTATAGTAAAGATAAAAGATTCTCCATAAAGACCTACCAATTGTTAATTAAGCTATTTCCGCAAGAGGTTTGCAACTTCACAACTTAGTGTAAATAACATAAGGCCATAAGGCGTAGAGACTTGAAATTTGGTAGAAATATTCCTTTCGCCGAGTAGAGGTCAGCTACGGATTTTACGAAATTACACAAAACAACGTTTGCCGGATCAGCTAGTTATCATATATTCGAATTGTTCTAACGCAATTCTCTGATCTGCTTGATTGTACAATCCAGATGAATAATAATGGAGAAAGTGTTATTATTCTGTTATGGCGATGAAAATGCGTTGCAGAAACAGTGCAAATAATACGTGCGGGAAGCCAGGTTTGCGGCGCACAGCGCTACTCGTACTATCGTAATAGCAAAAAAACAATGACAATATTGAACAAGAAACTTGTCAAGATGATATATATATAATGTGAAACCTAAATTTGTTATTAGTAATGCAAGTTTCTGCTTAGTACAATACAATAGTAACATAAGAAAATAAAAATGCATAAAAACATAGAAATTAATCAAAAAATACTTCAGTATCATACAAAATATCATCAGTGGATGTAGTCAATTCTTGAAGATGGGTTACATAATACATTCATTCATACGTATTTTTTCATACGTCTTCATAAAACATTCATACGTAAATAGGTATTTCTGTTTTACACATATTTGATAGTCGGATTTTTTCTAATTAATTAATTAGCATATCTTTGAGAAAAAAGCTATTCATATGAGCGACCGATCGATTTATTCGCTTTGAATAATGTGTAACGCATTAAGAGCGGACAATGCGACGGCAAGACCCCCGTGATAGACAAAAAAAAAAAAAAACAGGTCAGCCGGCCCTCCGTTGACAACAACAGCTTTGTTAGAGAGGATTTTATTGGCACAAATATTTTCCAAGTGGAGCTGTGGCGCACAGTTGTCGTGATTTACTGAGCTGTTTACGCGACTCCCCGCCCCAACTACCAACATTTTTAGAGCGTTGTCATAAGAATTCATGTTTTATACAACACGTGACTGCAAAGCTTTTACACGAGGCAAGATGTTTTTCCTAGAAGTTATCTCATGCGTCCTTAAAATCAAATTGTGTAAATATAGAGGGACCGTTAGTACAAATATCAACTTGTTTGATTAATGCACCAAACAAATGGAAGGGGCTAATTTTTAATTCATGGTTTGTCTTTTCGGTCGAAAGTTGATAAACAACGAGCAGTCAGTAGCTCTTACAAAGAGCTCTTTGTTGACTTCAAGCAGAAAAGAGAAACGAAATATTACTAACTTTAACAAAAATTGTTTAAATAAAATAAACATTACATCAATAACATTTTTACATGTCGATATATATTTTACCTAAGAAATTTTTCTTCATACTTTCCTTTTAAACAAAAGGCACTGACTAATTGAAAAAGGGATTAAAGCTCTCATTCAACGATACAATACAAATATCTCTCGAGTCTACTTTAAGAACAATCAACAGAGATTTCGCGGTAACTTTTTTGGATAAGTAGGAAAGTTGCGGAGGCATTTTCCAATCTCTGAGTTGGGGCCGTCGCTCCGATAGAAGTAGGTTTGTCATTGTGGCTCAGAGTTTCGCGTGCGCCCGGGGAAACAATATATTCTTTTGCTGGAATCGCGTCGATGAGAACGCACGAAGTAGTAATCTGTAGCAACGACCCCATTGTTGCCGATTTGAATGCTGTTACGAGATTTAGATTACTGTAGACTCTTTTTCTGTCATTTTGAAATGCGTTTTTTTCACTAATGGGATTCTTCCATTTTCTATGAGCTCTAGGATTTTAGGTTAGGAGTTTTAAGTTTTAAGTAAGAAGGAAATTGATAGTCATCTTTTGAGTTCCAAATCAGAGTTGAAAATCTACAGAATATATTTATCACATTCTGTGTTGTTTGCGAAATAAAATGAAAATAATTTTATTTCGCAAATTTGTCATATTTAACGACAGTTTTCTTGGACTGATATAATAAACAAACAAATAAAACATATTTAAAATTAACATTTATTTCTCGTCTGAGCCATCTTTTGATGATCTTTTATGAAATTATACAAATGTTAAAACCTTAAAACGCAGGTTTTAAGTCTCGTAGATCTCAAAAGTTTAAAATATGTTAATAACATGTTTAATAAAAATTTTAATTCACTCGGTATGATATAAATTCATATTTTAGGCCTCACATTAATTTCCACTAAACGTGGGCGTTAAGTTACATATTTCACGAAATTCAATTTGGTTCAACACGGGTGGAAACCACAGAAGATATAAATTTAATCCATACATTAAAGACATACCATAATACGATCGATCGGCCCGGTTAGGGCATCGTATCTAATAAATTCTACATTTACATTGGAAAAGAAATCTGCAGGAAATAAATTACGAAAAAGGAACAATTTCGCCGATGTAACCTGAATGGAACTTTTTGTCGATCTCACGTATTTTAGACCGGCGAGTTTGTTTTGTTTCAATGTTGGCACAGTACTTGAGTGCGATAGCGAAAAAGAATGGAGCGAAGAACGCTTTTTGCGAATAAACGTTCGAGTAAGTTATTGTAATTCTCGCACGTAGATAAGCGAGTCCTTTTAAAGTCTAATCTAAATTAGAGCCGGACTTTAAATTACTTTAAAAGAATAAGCATTGAACGAGCGTAATATAAATAGTCGAGTTTTCTTTCTTTTTTGTGTATACTTTATTGCACATTTTATTATAGCTAGTGCGTCGTAGATGCGAGAGGTGCGAGGTAACGGTGGCAAATGGCTATAGACAAACAGTAATTTTGTACTACAGTTTTATAAGCATTAGAAATAAAAAATTTTAATTGATACTCATTACATGTAATACATTTAATGAGTTTTAGAGAGATGTTCTCTGGCACGGATATCACTTGTTTCAGATACGTAACTGTTATTATCAGTGAATGTTAAAAGTTTCACGTTTAAAATAATCACCTTAATCACCGTACGATAAGGGAGGTACATTAAAAAGGTCTGGCGTGACAACAAATCTAAAGGAAAAATCTCCGCCTCTGAGAACCCAACGGTGATAAACGAGAAAAACTTTGGAACTAAATGGAGCATTCGAGACGGCGGAGCTGCGCTGCTCTCGTAGAATAATACTTTCCCCGAAGAAATAACACTTATAGTCCGCGAGGCTTAAAATCAAATGTCTCCGTTCTTTCCCTGAGTTTCAAGCGAACAGTGGCTGCGTATCTTGAGAAATGGCGACAGGGACAAATGTCAATTTTTACGTCACTGTTCCGATTTATATTCAAGGAAATTCAACGAGGCAATGTAACATTGTTGTCTAGTTTTTAAGCGAATACCACACATGCTTATATGCCACAAATTTACAGATTTTAACGCGTTTTATTATAATTTTAAATACCCGATTTTTTTCACGTCATAATGTCGTGTCAACCCAAAAAAAAATTGACGGACTACCAAAAGCCATCATAAAAGCACATTTATTAACTCCCAGTTAGGACATAATTTAAGACTATAAAATTTATAAATAAATCTTTTAATTTTAATTAGTATTTGTATAATATTGAAATTGTTCAGAAAATTAAAAAGTAATACTTACGTCCTGTTTCTTGTTAAGTATAATGTAAAACATACCTGAAAACAAAATATAGTATATTTAACTTTAATTAAATATTTACAATACCATAATTTTGTGATTTTCAAGTTATGGAGACGAATCGGTTTATCTAATTATATTTTATAAAAATAATGTTTGTATGTTTGTTTAAACAAAGAAAATTATTTGCCTTTTTATGTATCTTGCAAATAACATTGTCTGTGTGTTGGCTCGGATTATTAAGTAACTTTGGCGATTTTTTTACGCGACATTTAACTTATCATCCGATCCGAATCCCGTAATGATATTTGATTTTAAGTTTAAAAAACCGGCCAAGTGCGAATGTAGATGGCGCTTTTATAATTGTATTATTATTATTACTTATATCCTTCCCAGACTTTTATTATTTTATTGTAATTCATTATTTGCATGGAATTAAAAACTATTTTAATGATTCCAAAGCTATAACTTCTCACGCGCGTACGTAAGACACCTCACACGCACCCATTTTTTTGTATCTTCGTTGTATAAAGACGCAGAAAGAAGAAAGTTTTGTTAAATTTCGAAGGTTTAAACAATCATCAGCCATGGCTGTAAATATTTTCTTAATTTTACTGTATAAACAAACGCACGTTTATTTTAAAATACATATACAAATTGTGGTTTTGTATCCATTTTGTTAGAGGGTATTGATTATAACTATAATAAGCAATGAGGCATGTTTTGTAGTTGTAGACCTGCACAGACGTGTTTCGAGAAGAAAAATAAAAAAAACCAGCCAAGTGCGAGTCAGATTCGCGCACGAAGGGGACCCTTTTCTATAATAACCAGGGGTACCATTATCTATAACAACGGCAAAAAAATCATATCTTGTTGTGTGGAAGCCCCCACTTAACTATTTTTTATTATTCTTTAGTATTTGTTGTTATAGCGGTAACAGAAAAACATCATCTGTGAAATTTCAACTGTCTAACCATCATGGGTTATGAGAGCCTGGTGACAGACAGACAGACAGCGGAGTCGTAGTAATAGGGTTCCGTATTACCCTTTGCGTACGAAACCCTGAAAAGGTGTTTACGTGTTGTGAACGCGTAAATTTATTTTTTTATTGCAAGTATTACTAATAGTGTTTGAACTTTCTATAATTATTTCATCTAGTTATTCATATTTTGGGTAGGCGTGGAAGCAACACCCGTACATGTCATAAGTATAATAAGTGAACACAAATATATAAAGGCATATAGGAAATCCTTGCAACCTTATAAACCGTAATAGAAGTCACGAAAATATCAAACTATTTGAATAACTGACATGGCCAAATTATAAACATAATCGAGACAACACAAACCAATTACAAAAATAAAACGTGTAAAGCTTCAATTAAAACAAACATACATATATACAACGAAATTTTGTCAACACGAGGGTTGGGTAAGTAAGGAAAGATTATTCCAATTTATATTAATACGCGTTATCCGGAGGCGAGTGACGGGGCCAGCGTTCCAGTGAGCATAAGCGGGGGCCGACGCGGCCGGACCGAATAATACGTCCCACGAGAGCGCACACCTCGCAACGCCAGGATTATGTTATATGGAAATAATTGTCGCTCAGCGTCCGCTCTTCGACCGCCGCCCAAATTGCCCAATGTAGTAACGGGCAGACAACTTGTCGCCTCGGTTCCGACTGTCTTAATAGCGTCGCGCTTTATTACATCGATCCTAATGGAATGTGACTTGTTAACGAAAACAGTATAGTACTTTGTGTTTTTTTTTTTATTTAAGAAGATGGTAAGTGAGCTGGTGGTTCACCTGGTATTATAAGTGATGACCGCACCCATCGACACATGTTAGACTCGTAAGGTTACAAAATGCGTTCCTACCTTTTAACTAAGCGGGCCCCGGTCACCCCACTCACGAGACGAAACGCACAAGTGTAACACTTCGACTTCACGCCGGCCTTCTGTGAGGAAATCCCATCGTGCTCCTCCCATTCGTGCAAAAGGCTGTTGCGTGGCCCTACCACAGTTATAGACTCCGTTAATCGTCCTCCAAAACCGTTCGTTCGAATGAACGCTTTTTGTTTTTAATAAATACACGAATGTGTACAGTTCGTTGGTAAACTTGCGTTGAATGCGAGATGCGACAGGCAGCGGTATGGTAGTGGCGAAAGTATATACGTCATCAGCGGCGCGTAGGAGATAGTGTCGGTGAGAAGTGGGGGTGATCGGCACGTGCGGCACGTCAAGTGCAGCGCCTGTGTCAGCGAGCCGGCCAGACTGAATGGCGGCGGCGTGGCACAAGTGCCGCATCGGCAATTACGCCATTGACAACTTAACCGATCAGACCAGCGCACCGTTACGATACGTTGCACCGCGTGATCGGAATATCGGTTTATCGCTACGTATGCATAAAACCGTGGCCCAATTGCTTTTGGTTTCGGTTTTCTGGGTTGCAGGTTGCGAGTTCCAAGTCCGAAAGGTGAAAGTATGACTCAAGATAATTCTTGCGTCATCAGATATATCATTGATAATCAGGGAGCTCTATGAGCAATATATATAACAACTAATGTCACCAGGATAAAAAAGAAATGCATATGTCACGTGTAGTAAACTATATTTTGTTGTTTCGCGATATTTCAGTATACGCGCAAATTGCAACGATCAGCAAACCGTAAAAAAATGCTCTAATGCACGCGAAAACAAATTTCGCTTAGAGGGCAATATCATAATGGAACCGGGTTACGTTATATGAATACCTGCATTGAATCTACGTAGCACTACGTAGTACATAGCACTACGAAGCAAACCGCTGCTTTTTTATTACTCTACAGAAAAATTCTTTGCGTGGTAAATATTTTTCAAATTTATTTGTCTAGTCTGCTTGTAACTCCTTTTAGTTGTTATGAAATTCAGCTATTTCACAACTTAAATTTTGGTACGTGAAACATATTCTAAAGTCTCTATTTATTCTGTTTTTACCGTGGAACTACAGAAAAATGGAAATACGAGGTGTGTAGGAATATGAAATTTAAATTAAATTTGCATCGCAAATAAGTGGTTTAATCAAGATGCAATTTTTAAAAGATAATGCAAAATTTACATAACGTTTTACTTGTTCAAGCAAACAACTCTCTACATGTGTGTTATTTACAATAAGAAAAGTATAAATCTGGCATTGGGAGTTTTACCAAAAGTTATTACAGTTTTACTGTTAAACATACGAAATTGTAAGGGGCATTATGCGTTATGCGAAATCACATCTGTATAAGGAGGCAATAAGCCCTAATGCTTAAAGGTACCATCGTAGTCATAAGACGTCTCGCTTACGATACTTAATCGATACTTAATCTATATAAAATAAACGTGAATCGATAAAGGTACTCCACTCATTTTTGACTGAAAAAGGTTAATGAAATTTCCACTGAGGGTAACAGCACCTTGGCGGAAAAGAAAATATACCTGTTTTTGAGACTGTAGCAGTGATTTCATTTGGGTAAAGTTTCTCTCTATCAACGAAATTCAGAGTGTAATTTGCGAGTGGAGAAAGTTTTACCTTATCACAGAATTCCACGTGGAGTGTTTTGTTGAAATTCCTAATTTTATTCACCGACTAAGATAGTTTTCGGGCCTTTATTTGATATTTTATGTAGTAGTTTCGGGTATTATGTGTTTAATTAAATGTAAATTTATAGAATTATATACTTTACCAGAACACAATCGATGTCGATAATAAATTAAAACTTTTAATTACTTACATTACGTTTGAACATTAAATTCAAGTTCAATAATCAATTTAAGTATTAACATCGATTTTAATTTAACTTAATATAGAAAAAATACAGGTAATTTACTTTGAATCAAGTAAAGGTAAAAAAATTAGTGCTGTCCAATTTTTTTATATATTTCGCCTTGTTTTCGAGGTCTCATTTAATTTGTAATCAAGGTTTTTTTTAAATTAAGCAACATTAGAGTAAGTCACTCAAATAACCTTCATAATAAAAAATACACACATATATAAGAGAATATAACAGCAATAGAAAGAAGTATAATCATGATAGAAGTAAAATAGTGTACAGAATGAAGGGCAATTAAAAAAAAATTTTGGACACTAAAAGATTTAAATTATACCTTCTATGGCAAAAGGTTATTGCAATTAAATGACTACGCCACCGGCCCAGATGTTAGGGGCACGTTCCGCTAACGATCGGAACGCAGCATGACTCCACCGTCGTAGTCGATCGTAGCAGTCGTAAAAGCCGCCTAGTACAATTGGAACGTTGCTACGTGTTGCTACGATTGCTGAACACCTTATCATTAGCGTCACTCACAATATTATATAAGCTCACATCCTCACACTTATTACCTTTATATGCGATCCTTACACAAACTTTGTTTCATTACATTTTGAAGTACTAATTACATATTAATCTGGTACACAAAATGATTTTTTTTATTAATGTCATGATACTAACGCGGATAAAGCTCAAATAGTTGTAATTTTGAATTGTTGTAAAATCGTTGTGAAATTTTAAAAACCTAATTAGCGATAAAAAACCTAAAATATAAAAAGCTATAAAACGAGGGGATTATTGTGATTAAGTATAACTTTTTTCTTCATGGGAATCATTTCAGTTTTCATCTGCTGTATATTATAAAAGCTTTTCAAATCTCGTAAATATGTCATTCTAGCCACAAAAAAGCGAGCTTTCGTAATTAGGATGGGCATAGTTTGCGTCAGGAGGCACGGGCTACTGGCAAAAAGCGTTTTTGCGTAATTAAACGTTCAGGCGGTGGCAGTTTATGTGACGATTAGAGAGCGGGGCGCGTGGAAAGCTCGGCCGTTCAATTTGCCGCTTCACTTGACACAATTCGACGCCTGACTCGGGGACAATCGCACTCGAAGCCCCGTCGACCTCCTTATCTCCCGCCGAGGTAATCTTTCCTTCCCTCGGCGGCAATAACTCCAAGTGGGCAGGATTACCTGCAAAGGGGCTCCGTAAGGAAACCACCTTGACAAAGGTTATCGATTTATACATTGTGTGCATGTGACGGATTTTTTTTATTGCGATTTCGTTCTCAGCTGGCATGGATCCTTACTTGACTTGTTTATTGCTTTGATTTATTGCTTTTTAATCTCCATAATTTTCGATAGAAAAACAATTTTCATTAGTTCTAATTAATAAAAGTATCAAATGTAAACAATCTCTATTCTTAAAGTATACAAATCTTTTGGAAATATTCTAATGAATATTATGTAAATGTATTCATAAGTTTTCATTTACATAACATATGTTAGTGGCATGCACAGATTTTAGACAGTGTATGCACTTAAAAAACTTAACAATTTCTCCAAGTTATTGATTATAATATCATTTAAATAATAGGTTACTTAAATGATATGGCCGTAGAAAAGGATGTGAGATGCTACCTTTGTATTACATTTCAGTGTTTTAGGGCGTTTATATGAGACGACAGGGTACTCAAAGCTTTTTTTTGCATGTATAAAGTGCACGCGCATGACACACATTGTAATGACAGATATTTACTAATGAAAAGTGTTTTAAATCATAAGGCCTTAAAATAGTAATATTTAAACAAATAATTTTTTCTAAACTAGACAAACTAAACAAAACAAAAACAACGCACACGCTAGTAGCAATCGTGGACAATATTATCAACAGATGCTATCATATTGTCTTCGGTTCGTCGTGTCTATGTGAGGGAGCGGAGGGGGGGTGAGGGGGTGAGGGAGGGGGAGGTGCGGCGGTCGCAAAGCGTTCGGCTCGAGCGCCGGGAGCGCCGGCAGTGGGGATATTTCAATTTGGCCGGAGACGTGACCCGGGAGGCCGTGGCCGGAGCACGGCTCGCTGAACCGAGAGCCCGCTGCGGCCTCCGCCAAAGAGCAAACAGCGCCTCCGCAATCTTGTGCCACGCGGACCATGCCGAACACTCGACCACGACAATCTACTAGTACAATTACCTACACTCCACTACGGAAATACAAGCGGATCGGCCACGATATTGGCCGGCCTTGCTGTGTAATCGATAGGGCTCGACTTTCGAAGCCAATTTAGTTATTTACTAATTATATGTCATAATTGTCGTTAAAATCTTCAAATGGGGAGGATGTTATTATAGCACGTTTTTATTTACACACCATTACAAAAGAAGCATTAACATACATTTAAAAAGGTTACAAATATGTAGTATAGTAGTAGTACATATGTAGAAATTAATATGTGTATAATACACATCTTGGTGTTGTTTATCCATTTATAACTTTTTTTTAAATGTATAATAGTAAACTCAAAGCAAAGCAACGGCAAAGGCCTCCGCTGTACAGAGGGTATTAGGGCTTAGTCCACCACGCAACCCCTCCGCGGATTGGCGGACTTCAAATATCTTCGAAATACAAATTTCTTTATTATAATTTCCAAAATATGCAAGTTTCCTCACGATATTTTCCTTCACCACCCTGCACGTGATGTCAGCACTTAAAATTATCAGTTTTATTGGTGCCGGCGCCGGGGATTAAACTCTGGTTGCTCGAGTATATTGAATTCAAAGCGAGCGTCCGTACAAACAATGAGCTAACACGTCTCCCTCGATGATATAGCTTTGATATAATTTATTAGTTTAATAATATTATAATTATTTCCGCTAACAGGATTCTAACCTATATCTTTTGGGTAACTTACCCAAATGCTCTCGCCAGCAACTACCTACTACTATTTTGCGCTACACAGTTTACAGGGTGATTACACACTCAAATAATATGTTACAATGAATAGCGAGGTGTGTTGCGTTTTCTTTTAACTTTTATGTTCATTTTTATTTTTAGTGCTAGTCTGAACTTAAGATGAAATTAAATGTTTTTGTTTACCTAAAAACTGGCTTATGCATTACTGCCATCTCATCTAATGGTAAGTAATTCTAGATGATAAACCAAAAACTGGCTTGTGCCTGACCATCTCACCTCTGGTAAGTAGAGAAGTAATTTCAGATATTAAAAGCACCAGCTCAGTAATTCACTTATGCCTTAAGACATTCGCATTATAATTCGACGGGAAATTTGTTCCTTTCCTTTGCTGTACTTATTAAATTATGTCTCGTTGACTGTGTGAAGATCAACTGACATTCGGGGTGTAGTAGATGGGTGTGAGTAGAAACGCACCCATGCGCTAAAGATTTAAAGATTTGGCACTAGCGACGGAGACAGCTGATTCAGTCGACCGTGCAAGACTTCTCTCCACCAGTCGTACTGGCGGAGAAGTTTGAGGGTATCGCGGGAAGGCCAATGCGGTAACCGATATCCCTGCCTTTGTTAGTTCTACAATGTAGTGTTTGTTGGCAGGTCTCCTACATACCCCCCAACAGTGTGGCTGTACACACTACACTTGGCCTGACTTTATCTACTGGTTCTGAGCTCAACGCTGACCTGTGCACACAGGGCAGATGTCTCTGCGGTGACATGGATTTTAAATAACTACCTGATTGGACTTAGTTTTTAAATTGAATTGCATAAGTTTTACCATCTCAAATTAATTTAATTATTCAACCTTTTTATGGTCGCACAAAGTAATGTGTAGGTCCTATGTACTCACAACTCCCTGAGATACTTAATTGTATTTATTACAACAGTCTGTTCCTAACGGACAAAGCGCCCAACTCATTATTATTGTTATTTTTTGAAAATATATGGTATCTGAGCTAGTCCAGGGATTGTAACTTTAAATTGAAGGGATAAATACAAATTCTTAACCGCTAATAAATCTTTTATTAAATATCCCATCATTAAATACACTATCCTAATAAAAAACGTTACATTGGCGCCTCAACTGGTTTATTTACTTTTTGTGACCATAATTTAAACTAAAAAACAAGATGTTTATTATCACAAGTTAGTCTCATGCTCTTTTTACTGTTTGCTGTGTGTTTAAGTGGAATATAATTCCATGTGTTTCACTAAAATTTCTTGATGTTGTCAATATTTAGGATAACCTTATCTTAAGTTATTAATGCAGATGGATAGTTTTAAACACTATTAAATAAAAATATAAAAGTGTACTGATACTTGCTACTGCCTTTGCTGCTTAATTTAAAGATTGTGTATTCTGTTTACAGTCATTTTAACAAAAATAATTAAATGATTGAAAAAGTTTTGTAAATGTATATGACTTGATGATATGTTATTAAGGTATAACAATATTATAACTATAACTTACTAATGGAAAAGTGTAAACTGACTGCGACCATAAATAATATAGGATTTAAAGATCTTTATAACTTGCAAAATTGAATTATAAAAATAAAGCAATTAGCTGGTGTTAGGAAAAATGTCTTATGATAAGAATGTTAAATATTACAATTTAAGGAGAAGGCATCAAGATGCTGGGATTTGGCATATTAAAGACTTAAAATTAAAAAATTAAGTATTTTTACAGAAGGCTAAATATTGTTAAATTTAATTTAATGGGAGTGTAGATATGTAAATAGGAAATTTTAATAGTGACTTCAATGAAGCTTATAGTCTGGTTGTCTGGCTGTAATAATGGGGTAGGTAATTACAGCTAAGTTGTGTTAGTAGGTGTTTTAATTTTTTTTTTGATTCTGTTGCTGATAGGTTGGTTTTGTGGGAGAATGGGCTGCTGTTAGCAGTATTGGTTGCTGTTGGCAGAATTGACTGCTGTTGGCAGAATTGGCTGCTGTTGGCAGATAATTTGACTGCTGTTGGCGGAATTGTCCGTCGTTGAAGGCTGCTGTTGGCAGAATTGGCTGCTCTTGGCAGATAATTTGACTGCTGTTGGCGGAATTGTCCGTCGTTGAATTTGTTTGTAAGCCTGATTAGGTAACAATTTGTAGCTGTACTGGAGAGACAAGTTTTTTTGGTCTGTCGCCATAAAACTCTTGTTTTAAATACAATTTATTTGAGTTATTTTTCTTGTTGAGGATTAACCCTCGGACCACAGGTTAGGCTGTGTTAGTTTGTGTCCTAGGCGCAGGTTATTCAATGGATTGATTACTGAAAAGGAAATGTAATTAGCAGGAAATATTAGTCAATTTTGGTGACTAATCCTTGGACCACAGGTTAGACTGTGTTAGTTTGTGTCCTAGGCGCAGGTTATGCAAGGGAATGATTACTGTAATGGAAATGTAAAAGATGGAAATAATTTGGATTAGGTTAGGAATACTGTAGATAGGTAAGGGGACTGTCTCGAGTGAAAAATTATTAAAGTCATATACATACACAATAATAAAATATTTATGAAGTTATATCATAACCAACATTATTTATATATGTAAAATTATAATAATTATTTACTTATAATTGCCATAGTGAACAATAGTGAGCGGTGGTAGGTAACTCGTTAAATAAGCCTTAAAACCTACATAATTTTGGTAGTCTTTAACATTCGAGTAGCATTTTTTTTAACAGAGCGGTTAGCAACTCTTTAAATAAGCCTAAAGCTATGCTAACTCATTCACATTAGATATTATCTATGTATTTGTTTTTCACTCAGTACTTGACTAGTGATAGGGGATTGTCACGAGTCAGTCATAATTGTGGAAAAGGGTGACTCAATGACAGTGATTTCAGTTAGTCTTATATTGAAAAGGCAAACTGTATAGTCAGATTAGGGTTATTAATCACTAGTTGGGGAGTGAATAATATGAATATGGTTTCCACATATATTTAGTATCAATATATATTTATTATAATTACATAACTTAATATTTATTTCAATAAACAGTAAACATGGTTATGTGGTTGATGGAACTATGCAAGGTTGTTGTTGGAAGGTAGTGTTTGTGAGACTTATGATGACTGCTGACTCTTCTCTTCATTTTCTTTTCTATTTCTTTGATTTCTTTCTATGGTTTGATAGGGATGGTTGCGATAGTGGAATTTATGTGGAATATTAGGGATTTATTTATATTTCTATGATGTATGTAATTTATGCAGGAAGAGCTAGGAAGTGACTGATCCAGAAAATAGTCACTTATACATTATTTATTTAATGAAAGTTTTCTCATTCGAGCACATGTCTTTTAGATAGATAAGTTTTATTTTGATGTTGAGGTTTTCCTTAAAATTTGTTTCTGGTGGATGTTTTACTTTAGTTATTAGATGAAACTGTTAGTGTTGCTTTGAGGATTGTTCAGTTATTCTTTCAGTTTGGATTGAGACTTGTAGTTTTTTTTTTTCTTAGTATTTGTTTTGATATTTGATCTTTACTGCTTTTCTTTAGTTTAGTAGTTTACGGCTGAGGACAGCCGTGAATTCACCAAGGTGAATTCTGTGTGCTTGGGGGATATTGTAACGTGTGATTTCATCACTTTGTCGAAATTGTCGTTTTTCTAAAGACTAGGCTGCATGTCATTTGAACCTTTGCCTGTTCGAAAGGACGAATGTAAAAGTTAACTTCATTTGGTCGTACTTGTCATTTGAGATTGCCGCCGGTTCGAATTGACATTGGATAAATTAGTTTTTGTGGATCTATTATCTTCGACTGGTAAGTAATTGCTTGGTTTCGGTCATGCCAGTGGTTGTTTTGTTTACGTATTTCGTTTTCTTATCAATTCGCTTTTTTACAGTGCATGGCTAGAGGTTGAATCAGAACACGTTCCTGGTCGTATTATTTGTGATTGCTGTCTGGGAAACTCTGTGCTGGATTTGTTATCCCTCGTGGTAAGATCCTTTGTTATTTTCACTGGTTTCCTACTAAAATTGTAAAAGACTTGCATTGTGAATGTATTTAGAAATCTCACATGAAGGTAGATTGAGAATTTATTGTCTCGTGTTCCTAAGTATGGTTTATCGAATATCACAGGTGGATGCTGAAGGCATAGGTGGCTGGCAAGCTGGTCTGAGCTGCTGCTCTATTAAATATTGTTTTTTACCTCCAGTTGGTAAGTGTTTCACATCTTTATAAGTGTAGG